CTAACCAAAAAGCTTTTCATTATTGACACTCTCAGATTTAAGAGATTATTTCCCCCCTACCTGTTTACTCCACTCTTCTGCTACAGATTACTGGGCCCACAGTGTAACTGTCAGAGAAGTTTGTGTGCTACATTCCCAGCGGCCATACTTCACAGTTCAGTATTTTAGTTTATAATTAGTTGATTTTCTCTGAGTATTTATAGCTATTTTATATATATTTATATGTGGCAGGCATATTAAACCAAAGATGTTGATGCCCTGAAAGAGCCAACAATAGCCTGTAGCCTGAATATACATACCTTTGATTTTCTACTTACTAGCAGTCAGAAGCACAAACTCAGTTACGAATCTGCCACTTGTTCTACTAGGGGACTTTGGAAAGTCATTCAGACTCTCTTTGTCCTAGCTCCTGGCCTCTAAAATGGGATAATGCTACTTGGGCACCATGGTAAAACTATTTGCAAATACGCTGTTATTCTTGCTAGAACTATTGCATTGGTGAATAGTTTTGAGCAAGTGTACTTTCCATTTTGAGGCAGACTAGACTAGCGCTTTGGCTGTAGCACACCAAAAGGGAAAGAGTAGTATCCCCCAGCAGGGCTGGGGGGGCCTTTGGACTATTTTATGGGAAAAGAGTTTCACAGCCAGATGGAAAAGGATACCAAGGTGAGGCTTAGCATCTAGTGGCAAACTAGACGTAAGCCACAGAAGAGCTAGCAAAGTAGTTATGCTCTTACTTTTCTTTTTCCTTTAAGTAATTGCTATTCAACTTTCCAAGGACTCCTTCTGGCATTTTCTGGAGAGCCCATACCAGGCTGTACATATTTTCGTATGTACCACACTGTCCCGATTCCTGATTGCCTAGATGAAGGTGACTCTTGGCAGCACCATTAATTCCTCCTGACTGTGCCCCAGTTTCTACCCAAAGCCTGTGGGGGCACTATGTGCATCTTGGTCTCATTCCAGCATGAACTTGGATCATGGCAACAATGTGCGCTGGGGGTGGGACTTCCTACATGGCATGGACTCAGACAATGTAGAAGAAAAGAAACTGCATATTTTACTTTCTTCAACCAACTGAACAATTTTTTAATTTTCTTTCTTTCTTTCTAAAAAGGAAAAAACCCTTCCTTGTAACATTAATAGGCTAATAACTTAGATGATACAATTTATGTGATATTAGAAAGCTTAGTGATCTGGTGAGGCCTAATTAAGAAAAATAATAATGTGTACCCAGGGACTGAACTTGCACAAGGTTTTCCAAATCTAGATCCATTTGCTAAGTATAAGGATTCATCTACTGATTAAATTTTAGACTTTGCAAGCTACAGAGATAGGGCTTAACCTGTTTAACTAAATACTTAATAAAAAAACACCTTCAGGCTTCAAGCATCACTGTGATCACTAAGAGAGGGGCACATGCTAATAATACATGGGGAAAGAGGAAAAAGCTTTCCCTGTTTTCCTGTGTATCAGAGACAAGAATCTCTGCAGCTGTCATCTCTGGAGCTCAAGCTGAGGATCTAGAGGATGTATCAGCAACACTTACCCCAGGAATGACTGCTAAGCAATGTGTGTGGCTTAGTAGGGGAAAAATACAGCATTTGGGATTTAACTTGACATCAGGTCTCCTTGGGTGCTTACTCCCTTTGCTTACAAGACCTAGTGTCTAAATGCTGTAAACCAGGAAACATTTATGAACCAAGGCTTGAACCTTTCTTGCAAGCTAACTACATTCTCCAGGAGTCATCCCCTGGTCTGCTGCAAGCAGAACTGACAGACAACAGATGCAGGAAGATAACACAGCATACTCATTTTCCATTTTACCACAACTATTAACCTAAAGAAGAAACCCACGTCTAAGGATTTTTTCCTTCTTCCTAAGATTTTTTTGATGCAAATCCTTCTTGCCATTCAGCAGCTTCTTACTGGAACTTCCTGATGCAAATACCTCTTCACATGCAGGGCCTTTTCTTCCACATCCCACTGTGACTCCTGCAGAGAGGAACTGTTCTAGGTAAACACAATTGTTGAGGCTTTACTTACTGTTTAACTAGTTTGAAATGAATCTGTTCTCTAGGCTTACAACTGCATTAAACTGCTAATGGGATTCATCTTCAATGAGGCAATCGAACACTTCATTCCTGTTCTGAACTGCTGTAATGGCCTGGACAGCTAACGGGAATCCTTCAACACAGATCAACTACTTCATATTTCACCTTCTGCTCCTCCAACTACTCTCGGATTCCTGCTAGAGAGAGGAAGAAGCAAATTAGACACCAAATAGATAGGCTTCCTAGGGTGCATTGCAGGGCTTTAATCAGTTATCTTGCTATCAGAAGAAGAAAACCTGCTATTGATTGGGATGTAATGCGACCCGTAATGAATTTTTCATCTTCACCAAGTTTTTCATTGCATTAGAAGTTGGCCATCTAGCCCAGCGTAAGAAGCACTGTTTGCAAGAAGTACACTGGCTACCTCTTTGAACTCCAGGAATACAATTAGGTGGGGAAAAAAAAAGCTACAAAGCTGTAGCTGAAAGCTACAAAGAAAGGAGAGGATAATAGAAGACATTTGCCTGTGAGATCAGTGGAGCCTTTAAATCAGTCGAGTGTCATATTTGAATCCAATATGTGCAGTTAGGACCCTACGGTTCCTTGTTATCACATGGGTGTTTGGGGACCCAAACTGAAAAAAACCTTTATTTTTACCCACCGTAAGAGACTTCAGTGGATTACAGCTGTAATTTTGTAAACTGCTGCAGCCCAGAGATTCATGGAAATTCCAGTGCTCTGAGTTCAGATGATATACAGGACACCCCCCCCACCCCTTACTGCTATAACCTGCTTCTCTTTGCCTGTGTTGTAGACAACCAGCCTTCCTGGGATCCTGGTCAATGTGAACTTGCGGGTTTCTGCCATAGTTATGACCATCTTGATAGATTCACTTTGACTTTTCACATATTCTTTTAATTTATATGTTCATTTTTTTATTTCTTTCCTGAAGTTTGATGATTTTTGGCACATGTTATCATCCCTACATTTGCTGGCCACTGAAATGGTCATATATTCTCTCGGTCCACTTATACTTCATGTGTGAAAAGAACTACTGTTAAAATTTAACTTTCAGCAGGCAGCTGTCACATATATTTGATACCTCTGTTCTCTGAAGGTCAGGCTAGTAAAACTCCAAGACACGGGGTCAGGATTCCTCTCGAGAGAATTGTTTCCAGGCTCTGCTCGCGTTAATACTGCAAAGCGGGTTGGTTTATGGGGTCCGAGACGGAGTCTGTCCCGTTGCAGGCAACCCCTAGTACTGCACATAACAGAAGCTTTATTGATGATGATAAACGCGTCACACGCAGCTGGGTCGGGCTCTCCTCTCCAAGCTGACTCTCCGACCGTTAGGAAAACCAGACTGGAAAACCGCACCTGTCGTGACGGCTGGCGGCGGCTGCGCGGCACGGCGCGCGAATGCCCAGCAGCGCCGTTCCTACGTCTGGCTTTCAGGGCCAAACTGCGACGAGCCGCTGACTGACAGCGGGACGAGGGGGGCCACGCGCGGGGGGCAGACAAGGCTAACGCGGCGCCACCGACCTGGCCCG